TTGATCTCCTAGTGTAATCCAATCCACTTTGGCTTGCTGGGTTTTCATCATCATGTTTGCCTTAAGTTTCAGGTGCAGTTCTGTCTTTAGGCCTTTTTCCTCTTCCAGCTTCTCTCTGTTATTTGCATCCTCCCTTAGATCCCCTTGGATTGCATACAGTTTAGTTCTGATTTGATCAATTTGTGTGTCCAAAGATTTGCATCTCATTCTATTCAACTTCTTCAATGGTTCTTTAAGTTGTTTTAGTTTTTGAAACACCTGGTACATGGATATACCATGTTGATCTTTCTTCCATATTTCCTTAATGATTTCGGGGAACTGTGGATCCAGAGTCCACATTTCACAGAATTTAAAGCTTCTGTACCTATCTTTCTGAATGCAGTTCTTGATGATCATAGGAGAATGATCAGAGACTCCTTCTTCCAGAAAGATAACCTTCATGCCCTATATCTTGGTTGTTGGTCCAGGTGAATTTTGAACCTTCATAGGGTAAATCTTCTATCCCACAGTCATTGAGGCACTCTTGGAAGTCTTTTACCTCTACATTTCCTATAAGATTTCCCCCAATTCTTTCATCCAGATGGAGCATAGTATTGAAATCTCCTAGAATGCACCAGGCTGTAGATGTTGCATTTCTTCTTAGGGTTGTCCATAGTTCCTTCCTTTTATTAATGTCATTATGGGCATAAACAAAGGTTATGAAAAACTCCTTATCATCCCCATAGATCTTCACTTGACAATGAATGGTTTGTTCAGTGATATCTATAATCATCATCCTTATTTTATTCTGATCCCATAATAGCCAGATTCTCCCCAGCGGGTGAACATTATTATTAATAATGGAACTCCACCCTTTTATAATCCTCCCTTCAATTGTGCTGACATTAGCATCCTTAACCTTGGTTTCCAAAATACCAATAATAGAAAGTTTATACTTATTAATGAAGTTACTCACTTCATGTTGTTTATTGAGGCTGTTTAAGCCTCTTATATTCCAGCATCCTATCATAATAAAAAGGGATAATGCCCCTCATATGGAGCTAGGCTGAGTTCTCTGTGTAGCATCCCAATAAAGTCTGACTGTCCCCCCTCCAAAGACACTCTCCTTGCAGCCTTCTTTTTATGAACTCCAGTAAATCCTTCATTATTCTCCAGTTCTTCTATATTTTTGGTTTCCTTGTTAATAGGTGTTGAATCATGGTCTGTTTTTTTATTTTCCTCCTTTGAGCTTGGTTCTTCCTCATGTGTTGCATCATTTTTCTCTGGAATGACTTTGGGCCTCCATGCCATTTTCCTCCTATTGAAATGCTCTCCCTTTGTTTCAGATTTCTTCCTACATTTCTCCATAATATGCCCAATTCTGTTGCAGTGGGAGCATATGGTTGGGGTCCATTCATATATCACATTCTGTGTTATGACCCTTCCCTCTTCATTTATGAAATTGATTTGTTCATAAAATTTCTGATTTATTTGCACCTCTACTTGGATTCTAGCATATGCCCATTTCTTCCTAGATGCAGTTGCTCCATCCCTCCTGACAGGTTGTCCTATAGTGCTGCCCAGTCTACTAAGTCCAGTGAGGCTCTAATACTTCATCTCAAGATCAGGAAATTGTACCCATATAGGAATATCCTTTCGTTCCATAATGTTAACCTTACATCCAGGGTACCATTCTTGGACATACACAGGTTTGTTGTCCATAAAGTAGTATTTCCTTTTAATAATCTCATTCCTGTCCTCAACCCTCTTTAATCTCACAATAAACTGGCTCTCTTTCAAGAAGGATACATCATCAATATCATACGCTTTCCATATACGATGTAAAAAGCCTTTAATCACTTCCAACGGGGGATTTGCACCTAGAACGGAACAGACAAGAGCAGATTCCTAGTAAATACCTGGTTCAATGACATCCTCCATTGTTAATCTCGCAACTGGATTTCCTTCGATGATTTCTACTGGAATAAATTTCAGATCCAATTTGAGGTCTTCCTGGATACCAACTGCATCTGCATAACTTTTTTCCTTTTCCATTACCGGTTCTTTGGTCGTCGTTGATTCAGGCATTAGGGTTTCCTCACCTTTGTTCTTTCCTTCATCATCTTCTCCGTTTGGATTTGTTTGATATGCTTCATTTCCTTCCAGTTTTTCCGTGTAGATGTCGCCGGCGATGCTTTCATTCTGTGCTTTTCCGTCGGTTTTTGGCGGTCGCCCCCTCTTCCCCATGGTTAGAGAGAGATATTATAATGATAAAGAGTAAAGATTATGTATGTATGTATGTATGTAATGTGTGTGTGTGTGTGTGTGTGTGTGTGTGTGTATATATATATATATATATAGATTTTGATTCTGGTGAGAATGCAATCTTAGGAGAGAAATGAGAATGAATCTGGTGCTTTAGATTGTGAGATCTAAGGGTCAAGATTTCATCAAAATTAGATGCACCAACATGGTGCGAAAATGCATCACGTCGAAATGCGCCATAAACCTTCGAAAATGCACTATCTCAAAATCTGAGCGCAAGATGCAATCTGAGCCGCACGATGCACCAGATCCGATGGCTAGATTTTATTCTCATTTCTCTCCACAAGGTGCATTCTCACGAACACCGGCCCCTATATATATATATATATATATATATATATTTAAAGGAAAGTTTTTACTCCGTATTAAATAAGGACAAAAAGAAAAGTACACGAGTGGGGAGGCCTAAACCCCTACATTATGACCCAACCAAAGTATTCTAAAGATGAGTGTACAAGCATTTAAATCTGAAGGAGAAAAACAAAATAAAGGGCTCCACAATCCTTGTAGGTTCCTTGTGTCTGTTCTGCTCGTCCCACCTGCTTGTTATCAGCCTGCTCTGCTCATAACTTCCATTGCTTTATAATAATTCTTACTGACTTCATGGAATCAAACTTGTAGTGTGTTGGATCAATCTACCGAGGCTTCATTCTGCTCTGCAGAAGCAACATGTAGTTCAATGTACTCTGCAGATTCTCCGTTGGGTTTCTAAGAAGGCCTTCCAATCTACTTCTCCATTATGTTCTGCAAATGCTTCAAATGGTAGCCTCTCCTTGGCTTGCAAACCATGATAAGGTTGAGCCCAAAGAAGAGAATGCGTACAGAAAAACCCAAGACTCAATATGATCAAGGCTTAAGCAAATGTAAACATGAAAAAAGCCAAAGCAAAAGGTAAAAAAAAGAAGAAGAGAAGATACATTAAATGATCTAAGAAAAGAGAGTAGAATAAACATAAGATTTAAGGCAGGTTGTTTTCTTCAAAGAGTTGATTTCTCATGCTGGCAAGACGGTTACTCCTTCTTGGTTTTGAGTGGGTTCCTCCTTGAAAATGTTTGCTTAGATGCTCAAATTTTGCTAGGTTCTTCTTATTCAGAGATGATTTCCTTGCATGCCAATCCTCCACACCTTCATTCTCTTCCCCATTATCAGTTTCCCATTCACTTTCTTCCTCTAAGTGTACCTGTTTGTTTCCATAGCCCAAATGTTCAAAATCTGAGTCGTACGCTTTGGAGGTGCTCCAGTTGTTATCCCTTTCTGTGTCGGACATAGAGCAGCCCCTAAATGAGATGTTGGACTCCTTGATTGCTGTAGGTTTAGCAGTGGTTGGGTTGGAAGGCACAAATTCCAGAGCATTTGGTGACAGGACTAAGGTAGGGGCTAAGGGCAGGGAAGCAAGGTTGGAAGGGGGGTCAAAAGCTTGAGTTGGGGAATCCAACTTCTGGGGACTGACTTCCTGGCTGAAGATTAAGGATGAGAAGTGCATAGAACAATCTGTGATATGCTCATGGGGGGCACAGACCGTAGCATTGTCTAGGAATGGCAAAGGAGGGGGGATAACTGATTTAAGAAAATTTAGAACCATCTCAAATTTGGAAGCAAAAAGGATGATTCCTGTACCTTGATGGCCCTCTGGAATAAAGATATGGGAGGTTCCATCACTTCTCCGTTCAGACAGTTGCAAATAGGGACCTTCAAAATTAGCCTTGAAGCAAATTTGTAGTGACCTGTAGGGTTCCCTTATAATAGGCTTGGTGATTGAACCATCTGTGATGAAATGTTTAAGAGTTTGCAGCAACCAAGAACACGCATCTAGCCCCAACCAAAGATTATGTGTCTTCTTCTTGGATTTTTCAAAAAACAAATCTTTTTGTTGTAGATTGAAGTAGTAAACGAAAATTTTTTCTCAAGAATATCAAATACCACTGGGATGATATTTCTAGCTTTGGAAGAAGAAAGGGTTGAGGGTTGAATACCGTGTTGTGGAGGACAACCTTCTTCATCGTTGCTGAGTTTGCTGGTGTGAGATTTGAGTAGATCGAAGGAGTCATGTTTACCTATAAGAGCGGACGCATACGTTTAGAAGCCTGTGTACTGAATCACGCTCTTTGCCTTGTAATCTCCTAGAGGTGGAGCCGATGAACAGGTCCTGGAGTTGGCCGGAAAAGGGGAAATCGGCAGAACCGAGGAATCTCTCCTCTCTCTAGAAACGCCAGCCATTATATATATATATATATATATATATATATATATATATATATATATATATGCGGACATTATATATATTTGTAGCTTTTCATGTAGAACCACAAGTTTAAAGAAAGGACATTTTAAGTATTTCATTCCACTTATCCATGTAGCTCTTTTTACACGCTAAGAAGAGGAAGAAAGGCAGGATTAAAAGAATAAGTATAGTGAAAAGTTGGTTCATTTGGTTGTTAAGATTAATGATATCAAAGGATATGTGTTGCATATAATGATGAGGTTGTGGAGATGGTCATCAACTTACCATACAAAGTGATAGTATGTAAATGAAAGAAAGTTTAACCACCAAAGTTAACACAGGTATTTCAAGCAAACAGGACAAACGGGGTAATTATATACCTATCACATCCATGGACTGGAATTTAATAATATCCCACAACAAATAGTAGTACTAAATTCTTATATACTAATGGATTTTAAAAGATGTTCCGTAAATGATAGGTTATATGTAAGCACTCAGGTAGTTTTAAAGTTTAAACAGAGAGTGTTTAAACATCGTACTGGGAATGAATGAGAATTGGGTTGTAACTTTAAATCTTATTCATGTCTCCATGAGAGTACAAATGTGGTCTACAGATTATAAAAAAACATGTCAGGAGGTAGATTTTTTGAGAAATGCATAGTGATGAAAAAATGGAAGCCTCCACTGTGCATGCAGTTTCTTTTAGTCCTTGATACTTAAGAGGATCTTGTGAGTGGTGCTCTGGGAGTTGATGTAGTCCCCATACTTGTGGAATATGATATCATGTGATCTTACATACAACAAACCTTAAAAGGATTTTGTGAGGGGTGGTTTGCAGTTGATGTAGTCGCAGCGCTTGGGGGAATATTGCCATGTGTTTAGAAGCTTATGGTAGACTGGTTTATTACTCCTAAAATGACATGACTCCCGTAGGGTAGATAGAGTGGGTAAACTACATAAAGAAAATGAATATAGGAAAAATCTGAAAAGGAAAATACCTGAGTTTTGCCTCCCTCCGTTCCTGTTCGTTCATGTCGGTTTAGATATCTCCAAAGATTAGATGTTAAAGGAATGTACCTCAAATATGGAGAATTTTCCAATAAAAATATATATATTAAAAGTGGCTTATGTATAGAAAAGATTAGTTTTAAAGTTGAATGGATCTTTAATGTCTCGATTCTAATTCCTTGATACAAAATTAACTTTTTCTATCATCTACTTGGGAGGTTTTTGTTTTTACTGTAAAGATGATGATACGTGAATCTTTGATTACGGGGTTCCAGGATGTGGTCAAAGACTAACCTTCTATATCATATTCTGTTGAAAAAATGGCTGATTTTCTTTTCGGTTCCGCGTAATGATTTCGCAGAAGAAGACTCATGAGAGCATCAACCACAGGTTGGCTCTTGTCATGAAGAGTGGCAAATTCACCTTGGGATACAAGACCGTTCTCAAGTTAAGACGAATCAAACAAGATCACACATGACTATTTTTAGGCTTACACATTGAGAGAATTTGATGAGTCAAAGTGCTTAGATGAACAGTTCCAAAAGTCAAAAGTGAACAAAGACAATGAGACGGAGGTAGTATATACGCTAATACTCCCCCTCAAGTTGGAGCATGAATATCAAAAATGCCCAACTTGGACAAAAGAGACTGATAAAGTGGACCAAGGGGAGCCTTCGTGAAAATGTCCGCAATCTGCAGCCTCGTAGGAACATAAGCTGTGACAATATGAGCGCGCTGAAGAGTGCGGAATTGTTGTCACAATATAAGCGCGGAGTCGCTACACATGGGACACTGAGTGCGGCAAGGATTCTGCGCAGCCACCGGATTTCTAGACAGGTGTTGGCCATGGCTCGATATTTAGCCTCTGCTGAGGAACGGGAGACCGTAGTTTGCTTTTTCGTGCGCCAAGAGATAGGAGAACCACCAAGAAGAATGAAGTAACCTGTGACAGAACGCCATGTAAGGGGACAACTCGCCCAGTCAGAGTCCGAGAATGCCGTTAATGTCAAATCACTATCACGACGGATTAGAATACCCTGGCCTGGGTGTCCCTTAAGATAACGAAGAACACGGAGAGCAGCATTCTAATGATCCAACCGTGGAACCTGCATAAACTGAGACAAAGTATGAACAACATAACAGATGTCGGGTCGGGTAATGGTCAGGTATAAAAGACGCACAACACGACGACGGAATTAGCCGGATCGCGAAGCTCAGCACTGATAGACCTGGCGAGATGATGATTAATCGGCAATTGGGTGTCTGCAGGTCTGCAACCAGATAAATTATGTTCCTGAAGAATATCCAAAGTGTACTTTCGCTGATTGAGAACCATACCAGTCGAGGAACGAGCACACTCAATCCCCAAAAAATAAGAGACGGGACCAAGATCCTTGAGACAACTGGACTGGCTTGGGTGCTTTAGCTAGGGTGACCTCACAACCTCATGGGGGTTATCTGCTGGCCCCTTTGAAAGATTATATTCAGCATAATGCTTTTAATTTTGATCATCTCCAACAGTATATGGATCTTGGAATTTTCATTCACTTTAATGTGAATCTTACTTCTTTTGGTTCTGGCCTCACTGATAAGGCCATATGGCAGCCAAAAATGGATGGTGTTTTCACTTTAAAGGCTGCAAAGCAGTTCCTTCAGCCAAATGGACAAGCATATTCTTACATCCAAAACTGTTGGCAGACATATATTCCTTTTAAAGCTTCCTTCCTATGTTGGCGCTTGTTTCTTAGGAAACTGCCCCTTGATTCCATATTAATGAGGTTTGGGTACTCTTTACCTTCCAAATGTTTATGTTGCTCTCAATCCTCTTTGGAAACCACTGAACATGTTTTTGTTCAAAGTGAGGTGGCTCAAGGTGTTTGGAATTATTTTAACTATATGTTTGGGCTAAAGAGTAATTCTAATACTGTTAAACAACAATTATCAGTTTGGTGGGGGCCTAAGTTACATTCCAAAAAGCCTACTGTTAAGGAATTTTTAAAACAATGCATTCCAATGTTTATCTTGTGGGAGTTATAGGTGCATTATGCTTCTCTTAAATTTGGAGATCAATCCCCCAATACTGCTAGAATTATTTTCAAAGTAAGAAAGGATGCTGTGGACTCAGCTTGTAGGAAATGGCCTCAACTTATGAATGCTAACCAAGATTGGAAGGCTATTTTTAAACTGTCAGGTCCTCTATCTAGAACCTTTCAGTTTAAAAAAGTGTTTTGGGAGCCTCCTTTGGATGGTAAGCTCAAAGTTAATATTGGAATCCTCCCTCAGGCAGGTGGGGTTGCTGCAATTGTGAGGAAATCCAAGGGTGGCTAATTATCTGGTTCAAGGTGCTGCAACCAGTTGCACCCTAGCTTTGAGTTCACCACTGTTTTTGAGCTTCCCATGGGCTGTCAAACTCTTTGCCAACAGGATATTCAGAGGATACCTAGCTTCTCAGCTTCCCCCTTGGATTAGGGTGTTTATTTGGAGTTCGTTGCAGTCCTATATTGCTGGAGATACGGAGAACTTGGACTTTGGGTGTGCTCAATTTCCTTTTTCTATCTACTAGGGGATAGTGTTTGGTTTCGGTTTGGTGTGGTTTGACGTGGTACTTTGCTCGTTTTCGCTTGCCTTTTGTGGCATTGGTCATGCCGTAATCTAGTATTGTTGTTCGCTAGGACCTTATTGTGGCTTTGGTCAAGCCGTAGACTAGTTGTTCTAGTTAGGACCTTTTTGTAGCTCTGGTCAAGCTTGTTCTAGGCTCCCCTCCCTTTCTTATCCTTTGTAACCCCCGGAAGGTTTGTCATCCGTATGAGGGGCTGGCGTTAGGCCTCGGTTTGGTCCTCCCCTCACTTTGTGGTGACGATGATATCTTAATAAAACTTGGTAAGGGTTGCCTAGACCTTACCCCACCGAGCTTGGTGGTTTGCCCACTGGGAGTTAAAAAAAATACCGCTTGAAAGAAGAGCACAAAGAGAGATTATTACCGGAGACCAGAATATCATCCACATAAACGAGAACAACAAGCATATCAGAACCACGACTGAGAACAAAGAGGGTGTGATCGGCATGAGCTTGGCGGAACCCATAGCGTCGAAGTGCTATTCGAAGTTTAGCAAACCAATTTCGGGGAGATTGACGCAACCCGTACAAAGACTTACGTAACCTGGAAACTTTGTTAGGAAACAGGTGAGAGTAACCAGGAGGGAGCTTCATATAAATTTCATCCTTAAGATCCCAATGTAAAAAGGCATTATTAACATCCAACTGATCAACGTGCCACCCACAAGCAACAACAACAGATAACTAAACACGAACGGTGGCTAACTTTGCCACTGGAGCAAATGTATTAGTGAAGTCAATACCCAACTCCTGATGATTTCCCAAGACCACCAAACGTGCTTTGTCCCGCTCCTTAGTACCATCAGACCTGTACTTTGTTCGATAGACCCATTGGCAACCAAGCGCCCGCCGATTAGGAGGTAGATCTGTGATTTCCCAGGTATGGTTCCGTTCCAAAGCTGTAAATTCTTGCACCATTGCCTCCCTCCACGAGGCGAATTGGACAGCCTCGCGATAGGACTTAGGAACCGGGGAAGCATCAACAGCACCAAGAAAGCCTTGGTACCTGTCATGTAACTTACCATAATTAACATAGTTAGTAATAGGGAACTGGGTACCTGATGAGACTGAACTGGAGGAAACGAAAGCGGAGTACTAGTAGTGGCGGAATTAAGGACATAGTCATGGAGACGAGGTGGTAGACAATGAGTACGGGGTGGCAGAGGTGCCGGTGATTCGGTGGAGGAAGAGAGCTCCCCCTGCGTGGTTGCCGGGGAAGAAGACAGAGACGGGACAGACGAGGAGGACTGAGACGGGGACTGTGAGGGCTGTTCGGCAGGGGTGGCGCTGGAGGAATCAGCTTGTTGGGACAGTGACGGTGACATTGTTTGGACAGTGGGAAAATCCTCATTTGCTGGGTTGAGGACAGGTTGGGGGAGGGCGAGGAAGATGGTAGGGAAAACACGAATTGAGACTCATCGAATACAACGTCCCGGGTATGGAAAAATTGGTGAGTGTCAAGATTGTAAACCATCCACCCTTTAGTACCGGATGGATACCCGACAAACATACATTTGACACTACGGGGAGAGAATTTGTTAGTGGGTTTAGGAGTTTGACGAACATAACAGAGGCAACCGAAGACCCGGAGATGACTCAAGTTTTGGGTTTTGGAAGACAATACCTCAAGAGGAGATTTCCCACCAAGCAACTTTGTAGGAGTGCGGTTGATTAAATAAACCGCGGTTTTCACACATTCACCCCAAAATTCCACAAGAAGAAATGCTTGGAGAATTGAGTCTGTATCATGGCAAAAAACCGTTTAAGAGATACAGTAACTTCACTTTTACAGCGGATAAGATACACCCAAACAGCACGAGAAAAATCATCAACGATAGTGAGAAAATAATGAGCACCAGTGGATATACAAGGGAATAAGGGCCCCACAAATCACAATGAATTAAATCAAACACAGCTTCAGCTTTATTAATACTAGTAGGAAAGGAAGAACGAGTTTGCTTTGACATAAAACAAATTTCACAAGTTTGAAGTTTCTTGACAACAGAACTAGATTTTTTTGAAGTAAGCAAAGAAATAATATCGGAAGAAGGGTGACCCAAACGTTGATGAAGAAGTAGAGGATCCACATTAGCCGCAGTAGCCAACGCAGAGGAGGAAGCCAAGATGTATACTCCGTTTCATTTTTCACCCTGACCAATCACCATCTTCGACGAACGGTCCTGTATCACATAACCAGAATCATGAAAAGTTACATAAAAGGGGGTGTCCCGAATCAAACACCCGACAGAAAGTAAGTGACAATGTAAGGTGGGAACAAAAAATACATCATGAAGCACCAAACTCGGAGTTAAACGGACACTTCCCTTTTTAGTGGCCGAAATCCGGGAACCTTCGGGAAGGCAAATAGGATGGGATAAAATATCCTATGTAAGTTCGTGGGGGGTGCATCGGATAACAGCAAACACAAGCTATGCAAACAAAAACAATCAACTATGTTGTAGAGAAGACGCTGCAGCACTGTCCAGTAACATATGACGGACAATGTGCTATAACACTCCTCTGTCACAAGCACACACGTAAAATATGAAGTAAAAACAGCAAGCAAGACACCAAAATTGTTCACGCAGTTCGGAGCAAATTCTCTTACGTCTGCAAGGCCCACGTCCGTGTAATAGCCCTTCCACTAAATCACCGTAAGAATTACACAATCAATCACAACAGAACCTTCTAATGTATTGATTTGTCTACTTACGAATGACTTGACGACAAACTCGGTTTGCGTCTATCTCCACGGCTTGTTACACCTTCTCAAAGATCTTCTTCAAGGACGTAGACTCCAATACACCTTCAAATAAAGATTCTTCTTGATCTACAAAAATATGCAGGCTGTTCAGAAGCTTATAACTCGAGATTGAACCATTGAAATTCGATCTCCACCGTTCAGATTGAAGCTCCACGAGTCCTTAGACTCCTCCTAAAATTTTAGCACGATCAGACAAGATTTGGTACTCCAACCATCGAGAAAACCAGGGTAGTGTTTTCTGCAAAAAATCAGCAATAGTGTGTAGATTGTAACTGCTGCATTGGTCATAGCTGTGATATGGTTTTGTAGTTTCTTCTTTTTGAGCCATACATGGAAGAATTTAGTATTTTGATCTCCTAGTGTAATCCAATCCACTTTGGCTTGCTGGGTTTTCATCATCATGTTTGCCTTAAGTTTCAGGTGCAGTTCTGTCTTTAGGCCTTTTTCCTCTTCCAGCTTCTCTCTGTTATTTGCATCCTCCCTTAGATCCCCTTGGATTGCATACAGTTTAGTTCTGATTTGATCAATTTGTGTGTCCAAAGATTTGCATCTCATTCTATTCAACTTCTTCAATGGTTCTTTAAGTTGTTTTAGTTTTTGAAACACCTGGTACATGGATATACCATGTTGATCTTTCTTCCATATTTCCTTAATGATTTCGGGGAACTGTGGATCCAGAGTCCACATTTCACAGAATTTAAAGCTTCTGTACCTATCTTTCTGAATGCAGTTCTTGATGATCATAGGAGAATGATCAGAGACTCCTTCTTCCAGAAAGATAACCTTCATGCCCTATATCTTGGTTGTTGGTCCAGGTGAATTTTGAACCTTCATAGGGTAAATCTTCTATCCCACAGTCATTGAGGCACTCTTGGAAGTCTTTTACCTCTACATTTCCTATAAGATTTCCCCCAATTCTTTCATCCAGATGGAGCATAGTATTGAAATCTCCTAGAATGCACCAGGCTGTAGATGTTGCATTTCTTCTTAGGGTTGTCCATAGTTCCTTCCTTTTATTAATGTCATTATGGGCATAA